TTTTTTTTGAGTTGGAGTCTCACTCTGTCGCCCAGACTGGAGTGCAGTGGCCGCTCCCGGCCACCGCAGCCTCGACCTGCTGGGCTCTGCCGATCCTTCCGCCTCAGCCTTCCAAGTAGCTGGAATTACCATGGGCGCTACCATGCCCAGCTGATTTTTTGATTTATTGTAGAGATGAGGTCTTGCTGCCCAGGCGGGTCTCGAACCCGCGGGCTCAGGCAATCCACTCACCTCATCCTCCCAAAGGTGCGGGATTACAGGCTGAGCCACCGAGCCCGGCTCAGAAATCTTAAACTAAAAAATAAAGTTAGGAATGGTTCAAGAGAATATCTCTACTTCTTGCTTGAAAACCTGACTTTTTCTCTTACTTTTCAACATGTTCATATAGCAATAATCAAATCAACACTATTGAACTGCTCAAAACATATTATAATTTGTTTCTCCCTAATCTAACAACACCTTTGTGTATTAACTGCAACCTTCTTTCTTCCTCTGAGAATCCCAGAGCAGAGCCAAGGGGTGGGGTAGGGTGGGGATTGGGGTGGTCAAGGGCACCCTCCAAACTAAGCCTAGGTGGCTAAATGCACTAGAGAACTTTCAATCAAACTTCCTTCCAACCTCAAGATTCTCAATTCTTTACCACCAAAGCAAAATTCTGGGTATTTACACACTAATATTTGGTTACAACCATTAATATCTACCAATTGTGTATTGGGTTACACTCCAGAATTAAACATGGTTTTAGAAGTACTGGGGCCAGGTACAGTGGCTCATGCCTGTAGACCTAACTCTTTGGGAAGCCAAGGCGAGAGGAATGCTTGACCCTGGTAGTTTGACACCAGTCTGGGCAACACAGCAAGACCTTGTCTCTACAAGAAAATTAACTGGGAATGGTGACATGTGCCTACAGTTGCAGCTACTTGGGAGGCTGAGGCAGAAGGATCACCTGAGCCCAAGAGATGAAGGCTGTAGTGAACCATGATTGCACCATTGTACTCCAGCCTGGGTGACAAAGTGAGACCCTGACTTAAAAAAACAAAATAGAGAGAGAGAGAGAGAGAGAGAGAGAGAGAGAGAGAGAGAGAGAGAGAGAGAGAGAGAAAAGTAAGTACTGGGCCTCTTTCAGTAACAAGTCCAAGGAAACACAGATGATCCTTGACTTGCCATGAGGCTGTGTCTTGATAAGCCTCATCACAAGCTGAAAATATCATGAGTTGAAAATGCACTTAATACAGCTAATCTACCAAACCTCCTAGCTTAGCCTAGCCTACCTTAAATGTGCTCAGAACACTTACATTAGCCTACGATTGGGTAAAACTATCTAACACAAAGCCTACTTTACAATAAAGTAATGAGGATCTCATGTAATTTACTGACCAGTATACTGCAGAGTACTGGTTTACCCTTATGATTGCAGGCTGACTGGGAGTTACAGCTCATTATCGCTGCCCAGCATCATGAGACTATTGAGCTGCATATTGCTAGCTAAGAAGAGATCAGAATTCAAGATTTGAAGTATGGTTTCTATTGAATTTGTATTGCTTTAGCACATGGTGAAGCTGAAAAATCACTAAGTCAAACCACCATAGGTTGGCAACCATCTGTACTTCAAGTCCTTAAGCCTAAACAATTCTACTAAAAAGTGAAGAGATAACATTTCCATTTTTACTGATGGGGAAACTGTGATCTAAAACAGTGTGGGTCATCTCGCTAGCTGAGTTGGTAGAGCATGAGACACTAAAAAAATAAGATAAAATGACTCAAGTCATACACGTGTCTCACATCCATTATATCAGCCATCATTCCTTTGGGTCTACAAACTGGACAGCACCCCCAACAGAAACATTGTTAAAGACTTGATAGACTGGGTGCAGTGGCTCACGCCTATAATCCCAGCACTTTGGGAGGCCGAGGTGAGAGGACTACCTGAGTCCACAGGTTCAAGACCAGCCTGGGCAACCTGGAGAGACCTCATCTCAACAATAAATAAAAAAATCAGACAGGCATGGTGGCGCATGCCTGTAGTTCCAGCTACTTGGAAGGCTGAGGCAGAAGAATCATCTGAGCCCAGCAGGTTAAGGCTGCGGTGGCCATAAGCAAGCCACTGTACTCCAGCCTGAGTGACAGAGTGAGAGACTCCAACTCAAAAAGACCTGATACTTCTGCCTTTGCTCTACATTTTACCAGTCAGCTGGTACTGTCATCTGCATCTACAGCCAAGGAACCTATTTCCACGTTAACTAGCACAGTAATATGATGACCAGTCAATCTGCTGTGAGGAGTGGTCAGTAGAAAAGAAGTCTTTTACCTTGAGAGCTCTGGCTTAACCTGGCTGAGGAGCGGGTGACTCGGGCAGATCGTCGGGACGTGCCATCACTTTCTGAACTGTCTGTGTGCTCGAGATCTGTAGAAAAATCGGAATCTTCGGTTCCATCTGAACTACTGCCTGCATTCCTCTGTAATACCATAGATCCAGACATTAGCACAGAAGCATTTACTCTGTGGTTTTGCATTAATACTGGAAATAAAACAAACTGTGATGCTGGAAACACCAAGTTCAAAGCTAAAAAAGGATTCCACAGCATTTCCCCTCCCCTGCCAGAGCCAACTTCCCTTTATTTAGGACACTAAAATAGAACAACCTACAAATAAGGAACCTTTGTTAAACAAATGAAGAAAGAGAGTTAATTCTTACTGTATTATCACTAATTCTGAGCCAAAAGTCCCTTTTGAGAGCAGTACTACAAACTGGAAATAAAAACCCAACTCAAAATGATCTGCTGACATAATTATGCAAAAATTAAAAAGTTCAAGGTAGTGGGAAAAATGTTGATGCCAGGCCCCTTTAACATCAGGGTAGTATTTGTTCAGTGTCTACATGAATAGCTATTTCATCTTTTTAAAACTATATACTATAGTAAGTCCCCTACATACAAACCTTCAAGTTACGAACTTTAACAATACACACCTGAGTTTTTTATGTATTTCTCTCCATCAGGTGTCAGTATAGCCTGTTAAATACATATAGTACTATATCGTCGATTGTGTTAGTTGGGTACCTAGCTAACTCTGTTAGACTTAAAACAAACTGGACTCACAAATGCACTCTTGGAACAGAACTCATTTGCTTTTTGGGGACTTCCTGTATTTCAAAATATCACCAGGCGTGGTGGTTCATAATCCCAACACTTTAGGAAGCAGAGGCAAGAGGATTTCTGAGCCCAGGCGTTTAAGAATATCCTGAGCAACATGGTAAGCCTTCATTTCTACAATAAATAAAAAAATTAGCCAGGCATTGTGGCACATACCTGTCATTCTAGCTACAAGGAAGGCAGAGGTGGATGGATCATCTGAACCCAGCAGGTCAAGACTGCTGTAACCATGAGCATGCTATTGCTCTCCAGCCTGGACTACAGGGTGAGACTCCAACTCAAAAAAAAAAAAAATTATAGTCCACAACTCTGATCCCAAAAGACAAAAAATTCTTCTTTCTTATGCCATTTACACTTGAAGTTTCTTTACACAAATGCTGAAAAAGGCAGCTTGCGCATGAAGGTTCATGAGTGTTCAAAAACATTTTTTCTTTTCAAAATCATCTTTTCAATTAATGATTTGTCAATCATTAGCCTCCCAAGGAGTAATTAGCTATAAAGATAACTTTACTAAGTAAACACTAGCACTATACCTTTACTAAACCAGAAAAGGAAGAATATTTGCTAAAAAAATTAAAAGCTTCAAACTGCAAATCCCAATTCTTTTTTCAGAATGCTTAGGCACAATTATGTTTGGAATTCAAAAATTTTTCTTTTTGTAAAGGGAGTACTTTGCACAGACCCTGCAAACAGCACTCCGATAACAAACACAGTAATGTTTCTGCAGCAAAAGATATAAACAGTCACACTAAATAAGACACCTCAGGATAGTTTATGACAGGTTTGCCACCAAATAGCTACTAAGAAACTTACATTTTCGAGAACTCTTTCTATTTGGGAAATGCAGAAAAGGACTGTGGACCAGTTCCAAGGCACCAATACCATTCCTGTATTTGGTGAGCCTGAACATAAATGCCACCTACCAACTTAGGTCATTTGGGGAGGCACTAAAGTGTCCATTTTTAACCTGAAAAGCCTCGGTGAAGAGAATGATTTCTATAGAAATGAGCAAGACCACCCCCCACTTTTCAATTGTCCCAAGGGTAACCTGCCCAGAAATGAGCAGAGGTCCCAGATTCACAGCAGGTCGCAAGAAGTAAGGGGGAATCTTAAGGTCACCACAACAGTCCAATACCCTGATATCTGAACCCTTGACCGGAGACATTCCTTCCTGAGTTAACCCTGGAACTCAGCTCTTCCCTCCGGCTTTACCGATCTACCTCCCACCTAGTTAACTGCTCCCTCGCTTCCCTCCTACAGCACCCTATATATGCCTCCAAGTAGAGAGCTTACTGGACCCTTCTAGTTACTTATGTGTCTCTTTCCCCCATCACACTGTGATATCGTTAAGCCATGGGCCGTGCCTAATTAATTTCTGAATGCCCAGCAACCACCACGAGCACGTGATGCCTGGGGCACACCATCAGGACTCCCATTTGTGCAGTGTGCAAAAAGAAGGGACGGGGGCTTTCCCAGGTGGTCTCCTAAGTCTCTTCTACCTCTAGAAAGTTTTTGACTTTACGAAATGCACCTTCCAGGTGCTGTCGAACTACCCAAATAAGGACAGAAAGGGGCCTAGACGCAGCAGGCATGAGTGGGATCCCTTGGGAGTGGGCGCTGGTTTTCCAGCACCCGGTTCTCTGCTTTGTTGTGCCCCGCACCTGGAAAAGAAGGCGGCCTCCAAAGCCCCGCCTCCGCACCTATCAGCGTCCCCACCCGGAAAGGCGGGGATCCGGGCCACCCAATCGAGGGCCGGCTAAGCCGCGCCCCCACGAGACAGACTGCCAAGCCCGACCAATCGTGAGAGGAGGGATCGTTCCCCACAGCCAGTAGCAGAGCACAGAGGCCGGGCCCAGACACCGCCCCCGCACGCGGGGAGGTGACCGTTGAGCCCAAATAGGCGGCGTCACCGGCCAATCAATACGCTTCTAGACGTTTCAGCGGCCAATGAACAATAAGAACGCCTCCGATCCAGGCAAGCAGAGGGCGGGAACAGTTGCGAGTACAGGCCGAGGCCGGGGTCGGGCCCGCATTTTTCTGTTGGTTCTGGACGGAGGAAAGAGTGGCTGGGCGAGGTTCGGGGGAGCGGGACGCTGGAACCCTACGACTGTTAGGCGTGGCCAACTGCGTCACGTTGCTCAATCGACTGTCCTTAGAAACCCGCCATTCCTCCTCTCTCGTTTCTCACCTTCCTTCGCGGCATTGCCGGCGGCTGCGGCCCGATGGTTCCGATTCGGGCAGCGGCGGCAGCAGCAGCAGGAACGGTGGCTCCGGCGGGCTCCGTGGCGGCCTCTGTAGCAGTCCCAATCCTGCGGACGATCCCCAGTGCCTCCTGCCTCTCAGCGTCTAGAGCGTTCTGCGCAGGCGCCGCGGGCTGAAGCGCTTTTTCCTTCACTTCCGGCTGGGTCCGCGTCACCTGACGTTACGGGTCGGAGAGGGTGCTGGGTGGTTGGCTTCTTGTAGTGAAGCTAGTGGGCGCCATCTTGGAGTTGGGCAGAAAGTGACTCCAATAGTAGGAACCGGGGCCAGCCATTTCTAGTTAGGTGAAGGGTACCTGTCGTGGGCGTGGGCAGCCATTCTTGTTTGGGGCAGAAGCCAGGCAGTCGAAGTAAACGGTTCTCATCTTTACCTTGGGCAAAATTTCCCTTCCTGGTCGTTTTAATTTCTCGAGTCCAAAAAACCCAGAATCCATCAGGTTGCTGGGGATTTAACCCTTTCGTTACATCGTGGGCTGAAGGACGTTCCCGTTTATCCTATAAATTCAAAGTTGGGAAGGGCTGTCTTGCACAAGAGACTGTGTTTTAAGAGCCTTCCTGTATCTCAAAGGGGATGGAAGTGAGGGCTTGAAAAGGCAACGAAAGAGTAACGCCCGTCGTCAGAAAGTTTCCTGTCTGGTAGAGGAGACATTGTCCTTGCCCTTAGCGAGGCAGTGAGTAAGTTAGTCGTTCACGCCGCGGAGGAGCCAGGGCGATTCTCCAGAAGTTGTAGCTACAAAGAATTCCTAATTTAGCTCTGTGAGCGCCCACTTCCTTCCCCCACTGTGTCTGGATTTGAGAGCACTGGGTGCCCAGGGGAGAAAAATGTGGGGTGGTCGGAGGAATGGTGACCCCCATTTAGCCCAAGTGGCCTGGGGAATCCAGGTGCGTGAGCCAAGAATTAGGGGAAGGAGGAAGAGGACGGAGTTGCCCAGAAAATAATGGATATTTAGATAATAATGAGGGGGCCTGGGAAGGAGAAGTTGGTTCTGGAGATTAGGTTGGAAGAGGAGTCATCAGAAAAGACTGGAGAGTGGAGAGCAGGCGTCGAGGGTTTAGCCTCTCTGGGGGAAAAGTCTTGCCCTTCGACCTTACAAAGAATAAATCAGGAAGGCTTGGCCCAGAGCGACTGAGTGGAATCCAACCCAGTCCTTAAGTTAGGATCCTGCACCCCAGTTTCAACCTGAGGCCAGTTAAGATGGTGATCTCTCCCAGGAGCAGGACTACAAAACAAAGCAGCGGGTGGTAAACCTCTGATTGATGTGTTAAACACAGAGGACTCTGAAGAGTTAAAGTTCCAGCCCCTTAGCCAGCACTCTCTTCCGAGATACCTGGGCCAATGTTGACATAGGCGACTTTTAGTATTTAATATCTAGCTTTTGGTGCTTAGTGTAAATACCTCTGATAACTTACTCAGGCTGAACTGTACATAAGAACTTATTTGGAAATGGCTCACATTTCTTCTTCCTTTGTCTCCTCTCAGCACGCAAGTATTCAATTTCACACTACTACTCCGCTATTTTGCCTTTACCGGTATGTTCCTGGGGTCATTTTTGGATGTTCTGCCTCTCCAACACGTGGTAAGGATCTCTTAATGTTAAGAGCACATCTCAGTTCTTTCGTCACATCTTTTCTCGTTGTGCCCAGACCTTGTTCTACCCACAGTAAATGCTTATTAGTCAATCAGGATATCATTACTGTTTTACAGCCTCTGAAAGTACAGCATTCAGAGATGGTGAATTATCCCTCCCTGGAAATTAGTCTTATAGAATAAGATCTTATCCAGGTTTAACCAATATTCATGCAAATATCCGCATTACAAATGTTCAACATTAGGTGATTTCTTACACTCAGTTCGCTGACACTACAGAGTTTACAGTTTCATTTGAGTATGGTTCCTGTCCTTGAAAAGTGTACACTCTGGCAGAAAGCTGAAAAAACTAACACCAGTAGGACAGAAATATCATAAGGAAAAAAAGTGGGCGTTCCTGGGTATGAGAGTAGGCCGGTGAAATATATGTAGAATGAGACAGGTTTTACACGCTTTTTCCATCTTGCATTCTTTTTTTTTTTAACCAAATATAATCTTTACTTCAAGGGTCATTTTTATCACAACACAGTTACCTCTCCAAGTAGTAACTGATGATGGTTTCAGAGCCTTTGCCTGGCTGCCCCTGCCCATCCTCACCCACCAGGCTTCACACAGGCACTCTTCACAGTTCTCCCGCTGGTACACATTGTCACAGACTTTCCTGCCTGCCTGGATGCATCTCCCAACCCTTTTAAAAATGTCCTTTCTTCACAAAATCTTTCCCGATTTAGTCTCCGTAAGGTAGTAGTGCATATTGATGTATTATTTTTCACTTACTGCTCTATCAATATATGTTTTATACAGTTTGGTATTCTGTTCCCCACTTCCCCTTACAAACAGACAGCAGAAACATAAATCGTACTTATTTCATTCATCGGCTCTACTAGTGTCCAGTACAGGGATTTGATGTCAGATCTGGGTTGGAATCTCAGCTCTGCCACTTTCTATCCGCATTACTCTTGGACAATTTTTAAAATTCATCTGTGCCTCAGTTTTCTCATCTGTGAAGTGAGACATTAATGGCCACCTCACAGTGTTGTTGTAAGGAATAAAGGAGATGAGTATTGTAAAGTACTTCACATAGTTTCTGACATAGAGTAGTTGCTCAATAAATGGCTATTGTTATTTCTATTTCCAGCCACCCTAGTCGTGGCTATAACATTCCAGTGATCCTTCCGCCTCAGCCTTCAAAATAGCTGGAACTACAGCCACGCACTACCACGCCCGGCTAATTTTTTTTGATTTATTGTAGAGATGAGGTCTTGCCAAGTTGCCCATGTGGGTCTCGAACCCGCAGGCTCAGGCAATTCACTCACCTCGGCCTCCCAAAGCGTGGGATTACAGGCTGAGCCACTGAGCCCAGCCGTGAATACACCTTTATATGAACTTAGTGGTTGTTTGCTTTTGTCTGCTCAACCTTACTTTAACTCAAGAGACACAGAGTGATTATCCAGGCATTACATGCCAGGCATTGAGTCCCACCAACATGGACAAAACACCACCTTTCCCCTGAAGGAACTTAGAGTCCAGTAGGCAAGACAGGCCAGTAAGCTTGTAGTTCCAAAACACTATAGCGTATTTCATAGACAAATAGAAGGGCAAGCAAGGTTCAGAAGTGGTATGGAGGAGGAAGTGGAGTTTCATCTGGAAGATTTAGGAAAGAATTCATAAAAGGGGTGAAAGGGGTGGAATTTCATGGGAATGAATCTTTGCCAGTGGACCAGGAAAATGGGTTTCCAGCCAAAAGGAACATCATGTGCAAAAGTGCAGATATGTAGAACAGCATTGTATGGGGGTGATGGACTCTGCCTGGTAGACTTGAGGTGGTCACCACGAAAGGAGGTGGAGAGGGTTTTGGGAACCAGCTCCCTGAGAGCCCTCAACACCCTGCTAAGGAGACTGGACTGGAGGTGGCTGGTGATTTCTGAACATCTCCAAGCAGAGGAATCCCCTGACCAGACATGCATTTTAGAGATCTCTTTATGGCAGCTATGAGGGGGACCCATGACAGTGGCAGGAAGACCCAAGGCAGGGGATGGGTTAGAAGGCTGCTGTAAGAACTTCTACCAGAGATGAGGAGGAACTGAAATAGGCAGCAGAAGTGGGGGCAGTCTTTTGTGTGTGTGTGCTTGTGTGTTTTCTTACCTGTGTCTTGTCTCCTCAGTTACATGTGTAAGCACCCTAAAAGATCCCTCAATTTCCTTCATAATGTTTCCTTGACAGTAAAATGATAGGTACCGTATTTCAAGTACAAAGTGCAGCTGTTTATTGTTTGCTTTTCCTGGAGGTTGAGAGCGTTGCCTGACTGGCCACAGTGTCTCCAGCTTCTCCCTTGCTGCCTGACACCTCAAAGGGCTCAGTAAGTGGGGTAACACTGAGTGGAGTGTTCCTGACCCCACTGCCAGTTGTTGACTCACTTAGGAAAGACTTGTACAGAAGCAGCCATCCTCTCTCCTCTAAGTCTGTTCCTGACCAGTGATGTGCCCAGAGAGGTCAGGGATGGCCATGTTCTCTGTGTACAGTCTTGTAAGGTGGGGGAAGCATGCCTTGACCTTGAAAGACAATGCTAGAATAGCCAGGCCAGTCTTATAACTTCTGAGTCAAAGTACTGGCTTAGTCTCTCTCCCTTTGGGAGAATCTCAGAGGTTGCTGATGTGACCATAACTCATATGAAAATCTTTTTGTGTACAGCTGCCTTAAAAATAAGAGTCAGCAGTCAGGCACAGTGGCTCAAGCCGGTAATCCCAGCACTTTGGGAGGCAGAGATGAGAAGATTGCCTGAGTTCAGGGGTTCGATACCAGCCTGAGCAACATGGCAAGACCACGTCTCTACAATAAATTTTTTTTTTTTTAAAGCCAGGTGTGGTGGCACATGCCTGGGTTTCCAGCTACTTGGAAGACAAGCGGAAAGATTGCCTGAGCCCAACTGGTCAGGGCTGCAGTGGCCATGAGCATGCCACTGCACTCCAGCCTGGGTAACAGAGTGAGACTCTGACTCAAAAAAAAAAAATAGAGTCAGCACAGTCACTAGTGGGCCTTCTTCCTGACTCTCGCTGGAGATGGCCTGGAGTTTCTCTTACCTTCTGGCAACTTGTTAAGTGGGTTCTTGCAGCACCCTGACCCCCTCCC